TTTTGTGAAGAGGACTTCCTGGTATGCTGTGTTCCCCTCTTCTTTTATATGGGGTTTTCATGTCTCAACATGTCTTGAGACATATCTTACAACCATAGCTCATAGTTATGTCAGAAGAATGTGTCATCTTATCTAAAGCATGTCTTTAAAGACATGACGTGTCAGGTTTCAGAACATGAACCTGGCTATGAGTTCACCTTAGCTCGACTTGGCTCAATCGTTTAAAACGTAGACCAGTGGGTTTCAGCGGTCTGAGATGTTTTTATTTAGGATTTAATACAAGAAATTGATTATCAGCAAAGTAATTTGAGTAAAATTCACACGACTTGAATGTCTCAGTATTTGAGAATCTTGAAGAAAATCTGACAGTTTCTACATAATCAGTGTCACGGATTTGTTCATTTCATTTGATCAGTAATCTGGAAATAAATGACATTTCTTCCATAAATGCGATAGCTTTTCTCTTTATTTAAAAATTTTCAGAATCCTAAGCCTTTATTTCAATGGAAAAAATTACTTTTACATTAAGCTTGTGCATATAATTGTGTAGTGTAGAGAGGGGGTTAGGTTTGCCACATTCATGTATGTATTGTGTAGCTGGTTGTAAAAAATACAAATACTGCCACATTTTCCTTAGACAAGCAAAAAAAAAAGCTTTTTAAAAACACATCTAGCTCTTATAGGTGCATAAATGGCAAATTTCCTCAGGGAGAATGAAACTTCCAGACCAAAAAGTACAGTTTGTGTTATTTAAATTAGATGAATTGTTATATCTGAGCTGTTAATGTTGTGTGTATTAGAGAAAATGAAGTGATGGAAAGGAACGAGAGTCAGTTGAAAAGCTCACCTCTGTCTTCACTCTTGTCTTTAATAGTACTCTGGTTTCCAGCAGTCTGCCGACAAATGCAACGTATGTGGACATTTAATCATGGACATGGTGAGTCTGATGTACCTCCACACCCTGCATTAGTCACAATATCACACGACTGAGAATATCACACTACAGAGCTTGAAGGAGTTGGTTGGGTTTAATTTATAAAGCTCCTTATTCTACAGTGCTCTTTACATAGATTTGGCTAAATGTAATAGTCTTACTGTGTTTTAGGTAATTTAACTTTTATGTACTTGCATCAAAAAATTAGTTGTTAGGTACAATGTATTTACTGTGTATTGCAAAACACATTTGCCGCTATGGAGGTGGGATGCGGTTAAGATTAGGGACTGGTTTTGTGGTATGGTTAGTTTTAAGATGTAATTGCATGCAGGTATTTTTTAAACGCACGTACAATTTAAAACATGTTTGCATGCAACAGGTTTATTATCGGTAACTAAAACTAAAACCATAAAAAAGACTTAAAATGTTAAATAAAATTAAATATTAAAAAAAATATATTTCAGCTTGAACTTATTTAATTTAAAGTTGTTGTACTAAAATAACTAAAACTTAAATTGAAATAAAAATTAATAAAAACTGTTTAGGCATATTTTCAATCAATCAATCAATCAATCAGTCAATCAATCAATATATATTTAATTCCAGCTAGTGGCCAAGCCAACACTTCTCATTTTTGTTTAGTTTAGGAGTACTAAAATAACTAAAACTAATTAATACATATAAATATACTGTTAAAAATTTTTAAAAAATAACAAAAACACAACAACAGTACTAAAACTTCAACTAAAATTAAAGTTCAAATTCAAAATATTTACAGAAACTATAACTATATCAGTCATAATAAAATAACACTGGTACACAATAAGTTAATTGAATTAAAAGTGGGGTAAGTGATTTTTCAAAAACGCTTTAGAAAACTGATTCGGGCGGAGTAGCAAAACAAACTTGTAGCCAATCAGCAGTAAGGGGCGTGTCTACTCGTGATGTGGAGGAGAGAGCGTTCAGTGCACAGGACGGACGTTAGCCGAGCGACAAAGATAGAGATGGCGGATAAAAAACAAAAGAGGAAAACGTCTGCGGAACAAAAGAAGGCCTGTGATCGGACGCCGAGGTTGCTTTGTTTCTTCTCGATAGGTGAGTAACACCGCGTCTGCGCCGCAACAGCTAAAGTCAACAAAGCGACCGTTTGAAATTTGTGTCAATACGTCATAAATAGAACGCAGCAGCAGTTTTCTGTCGGGGATTTTTCGTGTCGTGCCGTACCGCATCCAGTGTAGACCATATATATAATGTATGTATATGGTGTAGACAGCATCACTGATTATAATGAGTTCTATAGTATTTTGTCACGCCGCGGCACTCGCGTCCGGTGTAGACACGGTGTAACATTGGTTTTGCTTTGTTTCACAGAACTAATCGGTGCCTGGGTTGTGTACGTATGTGTGGGGCGGAGCTATCAAAATAGGGGCGAGACCGTTTTGGGGTAGGGGCGTGTTTGTTTTGGTGCTTTCAAATGTCAACATTGGCTACCAGAAATCACTTACCCCACCTTTAAATTATTAATTTAAATGTTAGTACATAGTACTTAAAAACATTAAATATAAAGGTTTTCTCACACATGGATGCCCAGCTCCTCTCATTGAGTCATACTGTCATGAGAGGAGGCATATCACACACACAAAATGTGTCGCTGTTGGTTGTGTGTTGTTTGGGAGCATGTGAACATGGTGTTCCTCCTCAGATCCTGCAGGCGCTGGGAAAGTCTTACCACCCAGGCTGCTTCCGCTGCGCCATCTGCAGTGAGAGTCTGGATGGAGTGCCTTTCACTGTGGACACAGAGAACAAGATCTACTGCGTGAAGGACTATCACAGGTGAGCTTGTGTGGAGCTGCAGGCCCACAGCCAATCACAATTCTTCATTATACGTTTAAATGTGTTTATTCATTGATGGTTTGATAAGACTTCTTTTTATATCCAGAAGACTTTGAAGTTCATAAAACTGCACTGGTTGTACTGTGTGTTTGTGTTTAAGCATAACTCTACAAAAATAAGTGTTTTCCTGGTAAAACCATGGAAAACCATATTTTGCAGTATATCGTTTCTTTGCAAACTCACATTGACATGCAGTATGGTTTATTTTGCAGTGTCACTGGAGATTTTCCAGTGGCCTTGTGTGATTTCAATCATCTATTTTTGTATTTAACTTTAAAAGTGAACACAATAAACTACACAGTCAGGCAAGTGTCAACTATGTACTGAAGGTGGAAAAAATGAACCGAATGATTGAACTCTGCTCTGAGGACAAGAGCAAATAGTTCATATCTGTTGTTACTTTATATCAAGGGCTTCTTTGTAGCCAAGACTTTAGATCTGTGTCTATTGAAGTTGACTTTCCTGATAAATCTACCCTGGGAAATACTGATTCAAGTATAAAGTGTGACAACTAGCCCAGGTACTCCCATATTTATTTAAGTTTGTGTCATGATGGCATTTCCTTTTTTAACACTGCTTTTGAACTTTAAATTGACCAAAATAGTAAAAAGGATGACTGTATATGCTTTGTGCAGATGTCATTGTAGCACGCTGTTGATGGCTGCTCCCCATAAAAATCATGGCTTAAAGTCTGCATGCATTGGAAATTGTGACATACTGTATATCTGAGTGAAACTACTTCTCAAACAAGAAAAATATGTAGGGCTGGATTTTGTCCATTGGAAGTGAATTAATTGTTGTTTGCTAATTGCTGTGTTTCATGTAATCATAATTTTTAATCAACATTGATGTGCACAGATGAGTCAGGTATAATAAATACAGCATTCCATTAAAAAATAAAGATTGTAAATGTTTATTTTATGGTGATTTTTGGCTGGCAAAGCAAACTCCAGATGCATAAAGTGAGCTATGTATTTCCTTCAGTTGATGGTAGATGTGTGCTTTTTGTTGTGCACTATTCTCCATAATTTCTTCCACAGGCATTTTCCTAGCAGTAGCTTGATGTAATGACGTTTTATTGTGAGTTTTATTGGTCTTGAGGGTGTATGTGTGTGCGCTTTGCTGCACTGCAAATTCTTCTCATGCATCCTTTGCCGTGAGCAGTGAACTGAGCGATGATTGCTGTTGTTCCAAAACCCCAGACATTCAGTCAGGTGGTGACCATATGGAGATGAAATCAAACGATGCTTTTCCACTCTGTCCTTCTGGGATTGGGCTATTCACGGGCTAATCGAAGAGCCAGCAGACCTGCAGTCTAGTCCAGTAGCTCTATTCCACTCTTCTCAATCTATCTTTCACTTCCAAGTCATGCAGTGGCCCAAAAAAGTATTTGGGCACACTTATAAATGTCTGATTGTCATAACAAAATATCAAATCAAATGGAAAAATAGCACTTTGCAAGGAAAATATTAAAGGGGTCCTATTATGCTTTTTTACAAAGTCTTGATTTTGTTTTGAGGGTGTACTAGAACAGGCTCTCATACTAGGTTGTTATATTATTTTTCACATATTTTGCATTATTACAGCACCTCTCTCCCCAGTCTGGCATGAACGGCTCGAATAGTTCCTGTATCAAATGAAGGAATCTTCTGAAATACGAAATGTCCTGTGATTGGTTAGCTGGGCCAGTGTGTGCTGTGATTGGCAGCACTCGGCACCTGGTCGGGAAATGTCATGCCTTAACATGCGAGCTTCAGTGTAAATATTACGTCAAAATCAAATCAATTTGAGCGCGATTTAAACAACCCGGATGATTGTAACCACTCTAAGTTCGTCTGCCTTGGGAAAGCTAGCGGGTCTTCTCTAGTGCAGCTCAACCAGGTCTCGTCCCATTCGTCGATATTTGTGATATCACAAATCCCGGAAAATATGCGTTGTAGTCCAAACAAGTCGTTCGTTGTAGTTTTTTTGAACTTTGAGCTTTGTAACTTTGTTGAAAAAGTGAAAAAGCATAATAGGACCCCTTTAAAAAAAATACGTTTAGAAATAAGTTATTTATGAGAGAGTCGTTGAATTATTCACTTAACCGATTTGTAAAAAAAATTCACAACATTGTATTCTTTCAAAAATGTAGGTTACTCAACATTAACTTCTTGCTTATTGAACTGTTGTATACATGCAATGTCACACTTGCAATTGTGTTGTCGGTATGAAGATAAGTGTTGATTTTAAGAACAGCAACATTAAAAGGATTCTCAATTAGTTGTAAAAACCCCATAACCAATTCACCTGTTGGTTAAAATTAATTGCAAAAATGATTAGTTCTGAGAAAAGATCTAGCATCATTTGCGTGAAGACACCAGTTTTGATATTTTATGACGGACATTTTAAGTATAGCTAGCTAAAATGCCCAAATACTAATTTGTATGCAACTAAGTATGTTACAGTCTTGTACTCTGGATAAAGAGTCATGCTGATATGATTTTAATTGCCATTTAGTGGATGATGTGTGTGATTATTTCTTGTCTTTTCTTCTTCAGAGTTCTTGCCCCTAAATGTGCAGCATGTAATCAGCCGATCCTGCCCTCTGAGGTAAGATGCATATCAGGACCAATTCAGCCTGTACTCCATAAACTCTCTTCATACACAAACAAATCTCATTTGACTGTAAAAGGTAATCAGTAAAACCCCAGGAAATCACTTAAAGTTTGAATCCGCCGGGGGCATGAGCCGTATTCTCAGCCTGTGTCATAGAATCAGCTTTCTCTGTATTAGAGCCACGTGTCACAGCACAGCACTGCCAATCTAGACTTACATCTTTTTGCTTGTTATGAGACAAATTAACCAAAATGAGCATGGGAATTTTTACTACTTGGTAGAACTTTACTGCTATACTTAAACTATGCAGAACATCTAAGTCATTCCAGAACATTTAAACCTTCTTTAGGCCTGATACTGTGAGTAATTCAGTTAGCACTGATGAAGGAGTGATTACTGCTAAGTTAGGGCATGTGTCATTTGTTAAAGCCCCTCCATCTATAATTAGAGATGACCCACGAGGCATGCTGCTCTCCAACACCAGCAAGAGCTCAGTTATCATGCACCTGCATGGAGGCTCTTATGAGAAACTCTACAGGAATTCCTCCTCTCTGATCACAGCCGAGTGTAACATTAACACCGTTCACAGCTGAAACATCGCTATACCCAGAAAAGATAAAAAAAAACAAAAAAGCAGTTCACCCAAAAATGACATGACTTTTTCCATGCAAAAACAACAGTTAATAGTAATACAACAGTTCATAGTGGCAATGTTTATTGTTGCTTTTAAAGGAATAGCTCAACCAGAAATCTTTAACTAACCCAGGCTCACTGGACAGAGACCTAAAAATGGCTGTCCACCAACGTTTACTATCCAACCTGACAGAACTGGAGAGGCTCTGCAAGGAGGAATGGCAGAGGATTCCCAAATCCAGGTGTGAAAAACTTGTTGCGTCTTTCCCAAAAAGACTCATGGCTGTATTCGATCAAAAGGGTGCTTCTACTAAATACTGAGCAAAGGGTCTGAATATTTAGGACCATGTGATATTTCAGTTTTTCTTTTTTAATAAATCTGCAAAAATGTCAACAATTCTGTGTTTTTCTGTCAATATGGGGTGCTGTGTGTACATTAATGAGGAAAAAAAAATAACTTAAATGATTTTAGCAAATGGCTGCAATATAACAAAGAGTGAAAAATTTAAGGGGGTCTGAATACTTTCGGTACCCACTGTATGTGCCTACATTCACGCAAAACTCCAAAAATGTACCTACAAATTAAAATCATTGCAGTTTCCAGCTGAAATGAACACTAGAGGCTGTAAAACGCCAACAACCTTTATTACTTTTCACACAAAGGATGATTACAGGAGCAGGTTACTGATTAATGAAGACTTATTTTTCATGGTTCATGACCTCAAAACACTTTTACCATAGCGCATGATATACCATAATACGTACAATTTACCAGTGTAATAATACATTACCACGGTCACATTTAGCACATTTACCTGTTTTGGAGAAAACTGAACACACTATTTAGTACCAGTCACTGGATATTTTACTTTGAGCGTGAATTAGGTTCTTCATCTGAACAAATTTGGAGACATTAAGCATTACATCACTTGTGAAGTCTCAAAATCTGTTTCTCCAAATCTTGGATGGCCAGAGGGCAAGTATATTGTCGACATATTTTCATTTTAGGGTGAATTATTCTTGTAACTATTTAATAGTGCTGTCAAACAATTAATCGCATCCAAAATAAAAAAAATTGTTTACATAATATATGTGTGTGTACTGTGTATATTTATTATGCATATATAAATACACACCCATGCATGTATATATTTAAGAAGAATGTGTTGCGTTTATATATTAAATATATTCAAATAATTTATATCATATATAGAAATAAGTGTATATACATACATGTAAATATTTTCAAAATATATGCTGTATGTGTGTGTATTTATATTAGCAATTAATCACATCCAAAATAAAAGTTTTTCTTTAAATATATGTGTATACTGTGTATATTTATTATGTATATATAAATACAAACATGCATTTTATGTATTTAAGAAAAATTCTATCTTTATATATTAAATATATTTGTATATAATATAAGAATATAAATGTTTATGTATGTAAATACTTTCAAAATATATACTGTATGTGTGTGTATTTATATATACATAATAAATATACACAGTACACACATATATAATGTCAACAAAAACTTATTTTGAATGCGATTAATCGCGATTAATCACTTGACAGCACTAATTTATATATACATAATAAATATACACAGTACACACATATATTATGTAAACAATCTTTTTTTTGGAATGCGATTAATCGTTTGACAGCACTACTATTTAGTGCCAATCACCAGAGTGCCTTGATGCATAAAACCAACGTAATAATACATTGCCCACAGTCATGTTTAACTTCTTAACTCCAGGCTGACATTAACACAACAATTGAGAACATTTTAATTAGTCGTTAATCAATTGTAGACGGTTCATGTTTCTGTTTGGTTATTGGAGTAGAGACAGCTTTCGAAGTGGTCATGCTGTATCATTGCTCGTGTTGTGGTAAGTTGTGTTGTTGTCATCTCACTGGTTGTTTACTCTCATAGGGATCAGATGAAACCATTCGAGTGGTTTCCATGGACAAGGACTACCACGTGCAGTGTTATCATTGTGAGGTGAGTTCAACTTGGGAGACAACAACAGTAATAGAAGTCTCATCTGTGCTAATTTAATGTCATTCCCAATGGTTAGTGCAAGTAAAGAAACTTTTGTTGTTGAAAAACAAAACGCCACTTCCAGGGGCGGATTTAGTGAATTGGGGGCCCCAGGCAAAATATAGGAATGGGGCCCTATAAATTTTCACACATTTTCCTAGATCAACCTTGAGGTTCCTTTTTTTGTTGTGATGCTTGCTGCTGCACAATGGTGCCCCATAGTTGTGTCCAATGTTTCTACATTTTCATGTACATGTTATAATGGATTTCTTTCATGTTGTGGGGGGTGGCGGGGCAAATAATCAGTGAGAGCAGAACGAATGTGTCATATGTATTTTACCATTTTGTTGAGTTTAAAACGTGTATCAAGAGCATGCTCACAGATGAGAACAAAACAGGGTTGGATGAAGTGGATTAGAGCCCTGCACGGGTCTCAAATAGGCCCTAGCCCGTCTTTTTCCCCTTTTCCCAAAAATAGCTTATAGGCTACTGCGGTTTCAGCTATTAAAATAGTTCAGTTTTGTATGTAATGGAAAAGTGATTATATTTAGTTTAGTTTAGTTAAGTAAATTTAGAAAAACGTTTGGAGCATTTTTTGTCCATTAATATGTACGTTTTTTTTAAGTAACGGCCAGCGGCAGACAGTGAATTGATCATAGCCTATATGTTTGATCAGTTTAGCTTTCTCAAATCATCACGACTTGCCTAAAATAAAATCTCTATATATAAAACAGTTCAAGCATATCACAATGTTAGTTTAAGTGTTTAACCTAGATAAATGTGCGCTGTTAGACGCATATCCAATCGTTTGTGCGGAGAGTTGACGCTAAAGCGCGCTCGGCATTCTGTACAATTAAAAAATAAAACACAAATTATAATGGCATATGTGTAAAACTTTGTCCTATAATTGTATAGCTGCTTTTTCTGATTTTTATGTTGCTCTGTTCTGAATACCTGAAAATTTGCAGCAACACGATTTTGTCTCATATGTGAATGATTTATTAGCCTGTTTTTTTTACCCATGCAGCAAATGCTTTAAAAACAGCTTTAAAATGACTTTATTGCATTCCAGACGCTTTTATAGTACTTTTCACTATAAATTTTACGGGTAGCTTGAATGTAATCATTGTCATGAATTCGTTCTATTCCCATTTGTAAAATAGCCAACAAATTAATTGTTGTAGGCTAACCCGATCTCATGAAAGTGCTTATAGCACGATTTTCTGCTTCTATTTGGCGTAATATTTCTATGCAAAAATTGACTTTGGCATGCAAAAGACTGATACATTCATAATTAACGGCATGGCTGGTTCAGTCGATAGAAATACGGGACACACAGGCCTATAATAACTGAAATGTTTGCGGGGCAAATCTGAGGTCAGTCAGCGCTCACGGTACTCACAGTGCCGTACACCTGCAGGCGCCACTGACTTGGACGGTTGTTGTGGTAATAAACACCATAAACAGCAACCGTTCACGTGTCAGCGTTTAATGCGCATATCCTATATGAAAAGCATTTTAGGGGCCCTTGGCTTTTGGGGGCCCAAGGCGGTCGCCTACCTTTGCCTAATGGGTAAGTCCGCCCCTGACCACATCACTTAAGGCCTGCATGCCTCGACGTGTTATTAACAAAGATCTGCACATATCTAACAGTGGAGAATGAAGTTAGTGTGATCTCTTCCCGCAGGACTGTCTTATGGAGCTGAATGACGAGGAGGGTCACCGCTGCTATCCTCTGGACGGACGCCTGCTGTGTCACGCGTGTCACCTCAAACACATGGACCCTGCCTCCCCGCCGTCTACAGCAAACAGCTACCACAGTCAGTTTTAAACATATGCCTCCCCCTAGTGGGTGTTCAGAGACATCACCATTTGCCAAAGATGCTCAGATATTGCATTGCCAAAAGTCACAGCTGAGATTGAGATTACAAACTGTGTGAGACACATTATTATATATTGTATTTTACATTTGCATTTATTATTTTATTCGATTGGATTCAAAAAGAAAATAGTTTAGCCTTTCTTGTATAATATAAATGCTGTAAACAATAAACCATTGGCATAAGCAAAAATGTTGCTACAGATTTTTGTAAATAAGGCAACCATTACGTATATTATTACAAAACTTCATCTGAATTTCTCGAATGGCACCTAATAGTGTATAAACCTTTATTTAATTAAAGGTGTGCTCAGTAATTGATTTGATTCTCTTGTGCTGGACAATATGGTCATTGTTTTAGACTTATAATGACACCAAGCAGTGGAGATGCTGCATCAAAAAGCTATGCTTTGGTTACTGATGCCATTGCAGACATGCCCAATACACAGTCAGCCACAATTTATTACACAAGAGAAGGTGTTCAATAAGAAGGAACTTTTTCAATGAGGAAAAAATTACTGAGTGCACCTTTTAACAGACCAAAGAAATAGACATGCCTATTTATGAATGTATATTTATTATAATAAGCCTCCAGTTGCATGAACATTAGGTAGTAAGCTTTTAATTTTGTCAGATTCCATTTCGATTTAACGGACAAACATTAATTGTTTATTCCAAAAGCTAATGCGAATACTTGTGAATGTGTACCAACACAAATTTTCTGAGTGATCGCATCAGTTGAATTGACTTGACTTGACTTAATCTGTCATTTGAAATCAAACTGACTTTATTTACTTTATGAAAGTGTGAGTTTTATTATTCATCCATGCAATCAGGTCCATTTAAAAAAATGGAATATTGTTTTTTTTTTTAAATAATTAATAAATACTCTAATTTGGCGCTTGGTGTTAATTGTGGGCTCTGCTTAGAAGTCATAGAAGAGGTTCATCAACTGTTATTCTGAATATCTCTGAAATGTTTTTATTACACTATTGCACTTGGACAGAATTCAACAGTTCACTACAACTGTACCGATGGCAGGTCAACCCCACATCTTAACTGATTGGTAGACTTGACACCAATTACTCTCAATTTAAGGCTGTTATTTCAGACCTAGAGACCTCTGTTCTTTGTACATTTAGTTCAATAAAGATTTGTTATAATACAATGTTGGGTTGTTTGCCAAGTTTGGTGAATCTGATCACAAAAGCTATGGTTGAGAAATTCAGATCATTTAAATATGTTCCCAATTTTGTTTCACAAAACACCAGATTAAGATGTGACCAGACAAATGTAACTCCAGTTTAGCTCACCTATATATTGTTTAAAAGTTACCACTGGAAAGCCTTTAATCAGTAACTCATTTATATGCCTGTTGTTTCTTTGGTTTTCACGGTTAAGCTGTTGAATGTGTACAATGCCTTAAGTTCTCAGATCTCCCTCAGTGTTACTTATTTATCCATCTGCTCCTATTAAAAAGTAGGATATGATGCATTTATTTGACATTGTGATGCTGATGATTTTTTAAATAAAACTAAGGTTTTGTTTTTCTTTCATTTATTAAGATTGTTTCAGCACTTTTATGCAAAATGATTAAATGGTAGTTCACCCAGAAACGAAACGTGTGTCCATTTACTCATGTTGTTCCAAACCTGTATGACATTCTTCTGTGGAACATTAAAAGTATTTTGACAAATGTCTTTTTTTATTTAATTTTTTGTCCATACAGTAAAAGACAATGGCCAACAAAATTGTTTGGTCAATAAAAATCTTTTAAGACTTTTAAGATCTCTTATAAAAGAGCACCTGACAATGTCCAAATCTTTTACAAGCGGTAAGAATGGCTTATATTTCCAAAAACTAGCAGCACTCGGGCAAACAAAAGTGTGTACGTCTGCGCAGACCCTGACGTGGCGCTAAGCTCTTTTCCACGACAAAGACCGTTTTTATAAATATGAACGTTGCCGTGGATTTTTGCATACGCACACTCTACGATCAAATCTGTGCGTACCCACGTTTTATAAACGAGGCCCTAGGTTTGGATTGCTCAACAAATTTCTCATAAATTTTTGACAGCTGAGATGTTAATGAAATTGGCCTCAGTTCCTCAATATTCAGGGGGGAAGCTTTTGGTACGGGTACAACAGTAGCCTCTTTCCATTGTGTGGGAACAACACCTTCTGCAAGGGAGCTATTAATGATGTCACAAATGGGATTGCTGATTTCACATGCAAACTCCTTCAGTATTCTTGGAGGGATCATGTCTGGGCCAGGAGATTTGTGACAGTTAATAGAGGACAACATTCTATGCACTTCCCGTTCTGAGATAGTAGGCAAAGGTAGAGATGGGAGGTAAAGGTAAATCTGCATACTTAAGGGTCGGGAGAGATTGGGACACTTTGACTAAATTTATGTTGATCACATTAGCAGTTGTCACTGCTACTTTTTGTACTACTAGTTGTTTTTGTCTCAGGCAGATTAAATGCTTAATCCTCGGAGTGATCCATGAGGGATACATTTTTACTGTCTTCATGGGAAAATTACCGTCAATTTCAGGCAAGATAGTATTATAAAAGGCATTAGCTTTTTCATTAGTACATGTTACTTCATTTACATCCTACCATGAGTGAGTGGTAATCCATCTACCAAACTCATTCAGACTAGACTCTCTCATAGGTCGTATTACTCGCTTAATGGACTGGGGTGGTCTTACTTGTGATTTAGGACTCTACAAGAATCTTAGAACTCATGTCAAGAATCGCATCACCTTTAGTGTTATTCTGGACAACCTGGCAAAGTTTGTTATCCAAGCAGATATCCTGGACTCTGAGATGATTAAAATCTCCAAGTATGATGAGGCCAATATCTGGGTACTTAGTACGAAGCAGATTAGATGAAGCTGTTAAGTGCTCGATGAGTTCGTCCTGATATAATGATTGTGGCGGTGAATACACTACACACACAGCAATAGCAGATATATGCTGCGGAAGTTTCGACGGTCTCACCTTCACTCACAGACATTCAAGGTGATCGGAAACACTAATACAGGTTTAAGGATAAGATGGGACACTTTCTTTGATGTACAATGCAACTCCTCCACCTCGACGTGTGGTTCAACATTTAATAAAGTGTATCCATCAAGACCCAATAAATCCTCAGGCATGTGGGGGGTAAACCAAGTCTCTGAAATTGTAGCTACATCCACATGGTTTTCCATCAAAATGGCTTGAAACTGATCAATCTTGTTAACAAGAGATCTAGGGTTCGTCATCACAAGAGTTGGTAACATAATTAGTTGGCCTTTTGTGCTCTACTTTGACTTTAATCAAACTGGATTCAGATTTATCCCAGTTTCTCAGTCCAAACAAGCATGATGTTTTGTGACCAAATCTTCTGCCAACAATGGTCTTAATTTTACGCAAAGTGTTCTTACCCCTTCTGCATCCTCTTTTCCTAATTGGTGTCTGTGCAAGTCCTTCATTATATAAGATATTTCTTAGCCGAGGGCTTGCTGGAGGAGCTGATTGCTTGAGACTCTTCAGGAATTCCATAGAATACTTCAACATAGGATCCTTTTCTACCATTTTCAAAAAGGAAGTATTTGGTATGGCTGTAACTGATAGTCTCTCAGGTGGCAAAATGCGATTTCTTGCAAATTCAGCAGTATCCTTTTCAAATAAATAAAACATGGTGCTGTTTTCTCAGAAGGATACACATTTATTCCATGTATTATCACTCTCTTGCCACATAAAATATTGCAAATAATTTTTTGTTTACCTAAACCCAGAACAGCAAAGTGTTACAAATGAACTGAATTTCTGATTTCTAGTATTTACTACATGCTTAAAGCAATTTACATTTCACTTTAATGGACAATTAACATCAAAATGGTGCTGCAGAAGCAGAAAACACAAACAATGAAATAAGTAAATTCTGCAGCACAACCCCCCCCCACTCTTTATTTAGGACACTTCACATTGATACTCAGTTTGACGGGTAAGACTGTGAGTGGGAAATCTGTACAGCTGCTATAGAGAAACGGATATATTGCTTCCTTAAATGTACTGGTGAAAGTGCACAGATGTGTGTTAGTAAGAGGATCAGAGAATGAAATCTTTCCTCCGTCCCAGTCCAGCTGAACTCTGATCACCTTCAGTCGCTCATCAGCAGTTAAATGCATGCGGGGCTTGAACGGTGACTGTGACGTGTACTGACCAGCCATGTAACGCACACGCCACACTTCAGTTTCAAAGAAAACGCCTCCTTTTCTCTGGTTAGATGCTGTGGTTACTCCAACAGACCAGCATGTGTTGTTTTGGACCTCCACATCCCAGAAGTGTGTTCCAGAGTTTAAGCCCTCAGAGCCCAGCACACAGCGATAATAGTCAAATCTCTCTGGATTGTCTGGATACTGTTGTCCATCAGCACTGGATTTCACATGGGTCAGATCATCGGTCAGGAACAGCAGAGGATGTGCAGTATTGGGGTCCAGTGTGACAGGAGCTGATGAGAGAACACATAACATGTAAACACAAATCAGGAGTTTTGATATTTGATAATTGCAAATTAATTAACTACAATTTACTTTTGATTTCAGAAGTTTCAGTAAAAACTATAGATATTAAGAGAGAGAAAAAATACAGCCTACATATTGATTTTGTGTTTTTAGCACAAATCTGTTAGATTATGTCAACCTAATAATAATATTTTTTAAATTTAAATAAGTCATACTGCAGTCTTAGAAATTTGCTGAGGCCCCAGAATGTGCAATTTGAAATAGCTGTTTACATGTTTTGTGTTCATGAGGATTAGGCTAATCATCCCATATAGAAAACATCACAAGTAAATTTAATCATGTTTATAAAGATAAACATGGGTTTATTATAGCCCACTTACAATTTACATTTCAGAGATCATTACAAATAAATGATTAAATGCTAAAATGGAATAAATTTAAATGAACAAACTTGGCGTTGCATTTGCAACCATGTGAAAACAGGGGGGTGCTGCAGCCCCCTCAGCACCCCTACTTCCCGCGTCCCTGTCAGGGCCTGCAAATTCATCATGGCAAGGGAAAATGTGGTGGAGGTAGCCAAATGCAAACTTGCAGTGGAAGATCAGATAAGAGGGAATCACAGCCAGGTTGAGCACCACAGTGACCCAAAATGCGACCCAGACAGTGGAGCAGGCCATCAGCCATCCGAAACATTCGAGAGATTGCGGGTTTGCCAAAACTAGGCAGAGCTGGTTTTGGTTGGGGATTCAGATCTAAGCCTCAAAAGGAACTAGGAACGTATTTACCCTGCTGAAAAATCCAGCATTGCTGGTCATCAGCATAAGGTATGTTTTACATGCTGGTCCCCAGTATGGGATGCTGGTTGCTGGTTTGCTGGTCCCCAGTATGGGATGCTGGTTGCTTGTTTGCTGGTCCCCAGCATGGGATGCTGGCTGCTGGTTTGCTGGTCCCCAGCATGGGATGTTGGTTGCTGGTTTGCTGGATCCCAGCATGGGATTCTGGTTGCTGGTCCCCAGCATGGGATGCTGGTTGCTGGTTTGCTGGTCCCCAGCATGGGATGCTGGTTGCTGGTTTGCTGGTCCCCAGCATGGGATGCTGGCTGCTGGTTTGCTGGTCCCAGCATGCAATGTTGGTTGCTGGTTTGCTGGTCCCCAGCATGGTAAGCAGGTGTGCTGGTGGACCAGCATAAGGTATGTTTTGCATGCTGGGAACAGCTTGCGATGCTGATATGCTGGTGACAAGAGGGAACAGTATTTGTTGTCTTTTGGGTGCTGGTATAATCCCAGCAAAGCCACAACAAAATGTGTGTATGTGTTACATATCACATTTCTCTCTCTCTCTCTTTATATATATATATATATATGTGTGTGTGTGTGTGTGTGTGTGTGTGTGTGTGTGTGTGTGTGTGTGT